TTAATTTTATATACTTTTAGAATCTCTATCTTTTGAAAGTTTATTTCAATAAAAATATAAACTTTGTTTCTAAAATTTATTAATTTAACAAAGCAATTTTTCATAATACGTAACGCTGGTTTAACATTGTATTTAAGTTAATCATTGGAAAGCAATGATATATTTAATCGCAGAACAAAAGTAATTTGAAGTGTCTATTTTTCTTTGAAATTACCTCCGAGCCCACATTTAAAAGTTACCAATCATACAAACTAATTCTTAAAAAACCAATGTATTTTAAATGACAAAAAACTTTCTTCTATAATATTAAGGAAATTTAAGGTTTCACGTTAACAAAATTCGTTAATTTTTTTCAAAAAATTTTTGAAAGAGATGTTCTGCTTCTGTTAATTATTCGATGCGTGTAAATTGTATTGTATGTGACGATTAAAATGAAATATTGTACAATATAAAAAAAGACAAGCCACCGAAAAATAGAATTAGTTTTAGGGTAGATTTTATAATAAACAAGTGGTTTTAGAGGGTTAAATAGGACCCTAATCCGATTTCATTATGATCTCGACAGTTAATGAATTGATAAAACTTAACAAGTAAAATCATTTTGAATTAGGTCCTAGGATCATTAACTTTTTTATTGCTTATTCTATAATTATTTATACAAAAATTTTGTAGGTTGAATGTGATTATATTTAAAAGATTTGCAAACTGGGTTGTATTTATTTTATTCAAAGATTGATTATTATAAAATTAATTAAAACAAATGGTTTAATTGCTCACTATTTGCAGACAGAATGTCGTACTAGACAATTTCAAAGCGCGTGATTCTTTGTTGGAAAATACTTAGCGGTACCCGGTAACTAAGGTCTGCCTATGTATAGCTGAGGTAAAAAAACATTTTTTACCTTTTTAAAATAAAAGTGGTCTATTTATTAATTTCCAGAGCAGATCGGAGGATCTTAAGTCCAGACAATAGGGTCGACTTCAGTTCAAAATGCAATAGCAAAATTTAAGGGTAGAGTATAATACTCATAAATTATATATAAAATTAATAGCAATTTTTTTTCTTTTTAAAATTAAAGAAAATTTTATTAAGTAAGTTATTAAAATTCATAATAAAAGTTGTAGAATAGGTCTTTCCGTTTCTAACAATAGTAAAATCATTGATATTGGCTAAATATTCGCTGAGAAATATTCATTTAAAGAATGAGTATTAGTTTTTTGTTTACAAAAATCATATGATGATCATATGATATAACCAATCAAAATCATTTATTTTGTGTAACCTAGGCAAATTCGAAACCACCTAGGCTACCTTTACAATATATACAAGTACATTTTTTTTAAATTCTTTATCTATTAAAATTTATACCATTGTAACAAGCACAGTTTGCTATACATTTTATAAAACTTAGACAAAAATCAAACATAATTATAAAAATTTTTATTAATAGTGTATTTCTATTTTTTATCTAAATTTTTTTTTGCTGCGCAGATCATATGACAAATGATCTACGTGCACTCTACCCTTAATCAGCAAGTAATCAATTAACTTTTAGCAATATATGTAGACATTTAATATTTAACTTTTATTGAATATGACTTATTATTCTTTCAATTGATATATAAATTTTTTATTTTCTACAGTTTAAAAAAAATAAAAATTCAACGGCATTCAGTATTATGTAGTTGATCGCTTATAATAATAATAACTAATTTTAAAAACTGACCCATCTTAATTTAAGTAAAATGCGTATCAAGAATGCATCATTGTTCAAGTGCATCATTGTTCATAATCCGTAAATCTACATTTGACAATAGGAAATTACGTTTGGTTATGTAGTGTTCCTAATCTATAATAGATATTAATTTTATTTATCTTTCTTGAATTTATATTTCACAATGTTTTATTCTTTAGACATTCCTTCACATCAGTCAGTTCGTCTTAATTAAATTACCGAAGAAGTTGTGATAATAAAATACTATAATTATTATTTAGACATTCCTTCACATCAGCCAGTTCATTTTAATGAAATTACCAAAGAAGTTTATGAGTATAAATATTATAATGTTTAAAAAAAGTCTTAAATTTAAATTAATGATTACGTGTACAAATGCTAAACATATATTTAATAAAGTTCTGTGCATTAAATCGATATATAAAACATTTAGTAGCTTTCTGTAAATAAAATGTGATAATATTTACAAATACTATATTTGCTATTCGTTAACATAGCATGATTACTTTATAGCTTTTTATAACATCTCTATAAATAAATTTCGATAAGCCTCTATCAAATATGATAAGATTTTTTTTTTTTTTACAAGGTAATTTCCAAAATCAGGGTTGGAACGCATCAGTACTGAGGGCATTAACTAAATAAATTTAACTATATCAATATTAGGTAAAACAAGTCTACAGTATTAGTATTAGTATAGAAAAATCATTAACCGCGCACATTTTCTTAATTAGTAAAATTTTTCTTTGTTGCGCTAAAATATAAATATGCATGCAGACAAATGTAAAAAAAATTAAAATACTGTAATGTTATTGATGAATGATGTAAGTCAACCAATCAAAAACGTATATATTGATGTGACTTTTGTACTGCTTTAACTAAACATTAAATGTCCTCCAGACAATTAAAATTTTCATTTTATTTTGGCATAAAATTTTTTTTTCTTCGTTAAATAAAATGGACTCTAAACGACTTCGTACACTTGGTTACGATTATCAACATGGTATTGGTATTGAGAAAGACGAAAAGAAGGCTTTTGAATATTATATGAGAGAAACTGAGTTAGGAAATTCAGATGCGATGAATTATGTTGGTCTTTGTTATTATAATGGAATTGGAGTAGAGATAAATTACCAGAAATCATTTGAATATCGTAAGGGATCAGCTGACTGAGACAATGTTATTGCAATTAATATTGTTGGTTTTTGTTATGAATATTGTGAAGGTGTTGATCAAGATTATGTATAATCTTGCTCTATGTTATCGAGAAGGTACTGGTACAAAAAGAGATATCCAAAGCGCAAATTATTGATTCAGAAAATATAGAGGCCTTTTGAAAACTAATAAATCACCAGATCATATCAATCCTGAACTTAAGAGAATATTAGAAGATGAGAGATTTAAATTATCTTGGATTGATTATAATGAGGGGACACTTGAAGAACAAGTACCCCGTGATATATTCGTGATAATCACATCACGTGAAATCACACAATTACGTCATTTGTTCACTAGCATTAAACAAATTAGCATAACTAACCTCAGCTAACCCTAACACTAACCCTAACGTAGGCCGAACACTTAATCAGGTGATGTGATTATCACGAATATATCACGGGGTACTTGTTCTTCAATCTTCCCATAATGAGTTCAAAGATATCGAAGAAGAGGCAAAGGGAGGATTTGAAACTGTATCAGTCACACGATTTGTCACAGGATTATCACGGGAAGTGATTTTAATATAGAATTTAAAATGATCTACATCATATGACAAATTTCTTTTTTCATATAAAATTGACGAAATCGCTTACTTTACAATTGTCTTTTACAGGTACGAATAGATTTTTATGCAAAGATCAAGTTAGAATCTCACGAAGACACCAAAAACTAGCTACCGAACGTCTTTGAATGCCACTTATAACACCCAAAATAAAGAATCTCGCTTATAAAGTTGGGTATAAATTGGCTTTTGCGATCAAATATAATTTAACCTTTGATTTGAAAAATAGACACTAACAACGCTAACTAAACCTAATTTGATTCATTTAAAGTTTCACCTTCGGCTAAAATAGTTAAACCAGAATAAGTGAAGCTACAAACAACGCTTTTATAACGAATCTACTAAGACAAAATAAAGTTTGGATAGTATGAACTTTGGAATGAACTAAATTTTATTTTAATTTTTATGAAAACTAATCTATTAATAATTTTTTCTGTGTCATTTGTTACAGATTCGATCACATACTTAGTAAGAATTTCGAAGATAAGTTTATTACAGTCAGACCTCTCTAAGTGCACGCCCTTGGGACCACACTTTAATAACTTGCATATAGAGAATAATAAGAAAAAGTGTATTTATGGAGGTCAAGTATATATTTGGGCCAGTACTTGAACATGCATTTAGAGAGGGTGTGCACTTATACTGTAGAGGGTGCACTTAGAGAGGTCTGACTGTATCATTGTTTTTATGTATTATTTTTTTTCTAGTCAAAGTCACAGGTCTATTATTTTTTATTCTTATTTATTCAGGTCAAGAACGCAGATTGGTCATCTAATTTTTTTGATTTAGTTAACAATATGACAATATGGAATTTTCTAATTGTCTCGAGCCTTCTTATGCCTGCAGTCCGAACCCTAACACTTATTCATGGTATAATCAATCCATATAATATTATCAACTTTTTTATTTTTTATCTTGCCAATTGCATTATATAAATTTATATCAATACTACAGTATTTATTTATCCATTTATTCATTTTTTTATTAGGTTTACATGGCAATAATCAAACCATTGAATGATTGAGTGATTGAATGATTGAGCAATTGGAAAAAAATTGCATTGTCAATAATTGAGGTTGTTAATTAATAATACACAATATGAGAAATAACGATTGATTGAGCGATTGGGTTATTGAGCTATAGCCATTGGGTTATTGAGTGATTGGGTAATTGAGCGACTGGGTAATTGAGTAATATTGAGCGATTGGGTGATTGAGTGACTGGGTAATTGAGTAATTAGATGATTGAGCAATTTAAAACATCATGTAATAAATGTAATTGTAATAATTAAAAAAATGTATAAATAGAACTTTTTTGTCTTGAAATTTTTTTTTTTTTGTAATTATATATTTATTAAATAAATAAATTATCAACATATTTGCTTACAAAAACTATAAAAATCATATTAAAAAAAACTTATCCTAGTATCACAAGCCATAATAGTAATCCTCAATTTATTTTTATTCACGCAGTAATCAAATATTATGGAAAACATTAATTATAATGAGAGTTTTCTTGATCCATACTTTAGTAATTCTGATGGTGAATTTGCAAACGAAATAGAAAACTTTCCTATTCTTAATTTTGAAACTGATACATATCAAAGTATTAAGAATAAAATTTTGCAGCAGAATAGTAATGATGAAAATGAAGATTACGACCTTAATGATGAAGCAGAAGAAAATATAATTATGTTTGATGAAATGACTGACGAAATTATACTAAATCAATTTGTAAATACAGTCAGAGAATATACCATAAATGTATACTGCTGATCACACCATTTATAGTAATAGAATGCTGATCTAATGGTTCCAGAAATTTCTTTATGTCGATCCAAGAATGATCACTAACCAATTAAAATCAACTGAATAGAAAAAAATTTTATTATTATGCAAACTAGAATATTCCAAATCTTATTTACTTTTTTAATAGTTTATTTACTTTTTTAATGAGAGTTAACTAGAGTAGATTATTGTAGATTATTTAAACTACATGTTTTCTACTATCTATTAATACTTTTATTTGGAAGTTTTAAGTAATAAATAAAATGTGTAAAAAATTTCCTAAAACTGCTAGCAAGAAGTCATACAAAAGCCAATCAAATCTGTACAGATCATTCTAGAACTGAATTTTCTAATTTGCCCTTATTTGCTATATTTTCTGACTAAAATAACAATAGATACACACCTTGTGTCATTGTAGATAATGACAATGAAGAAAGAAAAATATAATGATGCAACAAAATTAATACTGGAGGTCCTAACTGGCCCCTTGCTTAACTCAAAGGTACTTGGGAGGTTGATCGTAATACTATTAGGCAATATAATAGAAATCTAGATGAACTTGGTATCTGTTATTGGCATTTTCTTTTTGATTTAAATCAACTGCACTATAAAAATATTCAACAATTAGGAACTGACCAAAGTATTCTTAATTATACTTGGTGCATGTTTTGTCATAAATATAAATGTTATTTTACGCATGGCCAGGGTTGCTCTAAGCATTCATGGACAGTATGTGGACGCAATATTAAGGTTGCATATTTAGGATTACAAACATGCAAAGCATTAAAGCCTTTCCTTTTAATTTCTATTCTATCAACAAATAATATGCAGTCTTTATATATTTGTGTAGAGTGTTTGGAAGATAACAGTGGTCACTTACATCAAAGATTAGGTAGAGGAGTTTCAGAGTTTGGTTGTGATAGTAAGCATGATGACTTAACTGTAATTCTAGAAAAATTTGGAAATTGGATTCAGTTAGTTGTAAAATTGGATAATAAATTACAAAAACAGCAACTTATTTGGTTATTATTGCCAATGATTGAAACATTAAAACCACATCTGCCATGAGAGATTTAGTTTATAGGCGAATAGATTCTCTTGATGAGCTAGTTTTACCAACTTTATTAATAGTTCAAATAGCATTTAAATTAGCAAAAATCAATTTAAGTGCTAAAACAAAAGCAGAGCATTTAAAAGAAAAAGAATGTACATACTTTGGAAATCTTCTTGGAGAGTCTTTATAGCAATCTCGCATATTGCTTAAAAATTATTTACCAATTTTAGAAAATCCAAAGTCTCTTGAACAATATGCTGAAGCATTGCCCCAAACTTTGTGGTCCTTTTTTAGTAGCCTTATTACAGTTTTTTTAAAAAAAACATGAAATCGCAGAACGACAAAAAAGACTCTGTGGATTACTATCAATTCCACTAGATTTAACAGCAGTTAACAAAATTACAATTTTTTTAGTATCAATTATAATGGGAATTGCTTTTCGCAGGTGGAAAATTTGGTTATTTTATGTTTTGGGCTCACTTTGTAGACATTTATATATGATTTTGAAGCTTCATAAAATTCTTCATTCCACACATATAATTTCTTATGTTTGGGATCATGAAGTTCATACAGAAAGATGGTATATGGAAAGTTCTAATCCTAATAAAAGGCTTGGAGTTGAAAATAATATTTATAATTTGTCAGTTATTGATCATATTGACTTAAAAGAAAAAACATTCATGTACAGAATTATATATAATATTGTACAAAAAACTACACATGCCACTCTTCGAATGATATTTCAATTTAAGCTTCCATCAAGCTTACAACCAACTTCAATTTTTTTTTCTGAACAATTGAACCAAGTTACAATTGAACTATTGACGGTTACAAAAGAACTAAACAAAAACTATAATAAAATTTTTGAAGAGTTGCTTTTAGAAAAAATAAATAATTTTAACATTAATAATATTCATCTAAAAGTTATTAAAAATATTCAAGTCAGATACAGATTTGATAAGCTGAAAATAATAATTTTAAATCCTGGGCCAGCACCAAATTCTAATAAAAATGTATATAAAACATGTAATATGTTTTTAAATAATGTAGTAAATACTACCACGATTGATATCACATGTGATGAAGCAATTTTTTGAAGACTTAAAAATTATAAAAATGAAAATCTTACCATTAATATCATTTTTGGACAATGGCATACTTCTAAAGATATGTGCCAAGCTTTAATAATGGCTTTTTCTGGATATGGACTTTTTAACATGGCAGCACTACTTGGTGTTCGATATTTGAAAAATCTAGAAAAGAGTCAGATTATCGCGTGACTTGTGCAGTTCTTGAATTAATTTGGGCAGCAGTTGGAATTGCAGTTTATCGTCATCTACAAAATACAGAAAAACCTATTAATTATATTAAAAATAGTTCAAATAATATTTTAAAAGTTTGGTTTAATTATTATCGGTGGGCTGGTTATTGGAAAGCATATAAAATCGGTATTCAAAGAGGTAATTTTGATTTGCAAATTGCAAGTCTCGCTGCATTTGCACCTCTTTTTCCAGTTACTGGCAAGTTTAGATATGTTGAATCAGTTGCTATTTTTTTAGGAAGATTACATAAAAATTCTCAACTTCAAAAAAGATTAAATCAAATACCATCTGTTAATATTACATGTGAAGGACATTATCTAGCATATAATGAAGCATTAGAAATATACGGTGTTAAATTTGTTAAACAAGTAATGACAGGAAGGTCTGGAGATGAAGAAAACTTACATCAACAAATAAAAGGAGGTCAAGATGAAATTGAAAGATTATCAATTCTTGACAAATTCATTGACACTATAATAAATATTGATGACCATGCTGCACCAGATCGATGTGAGCAATTGTGAATTTTAAGCAATCAAATATATAATGCATTTCAAGATCCAGATCCTAATAATCATTCTCTTTTTGATTATACAACACAAAATACTTCAAAAGGATACTTTAATATGGAAACTTGTTACCAACATGGAATAGAACACATGCAAGACCTACTTGTACAAGAAGTCTATTTAACTAAAACTAAAAATTCAAAAGGAAGAGTAAGTAAAAATTTAGTTAAAGATACTGTAGCAGACTTCAAACAACGAAAAAAAAAGGAAAAAATCAAAAAGATAATTAATCTGAAACTGACAAATATAGTAGTGAATAGTTATTTAACCTATTTATAATTAAAATATCTCCTTAATTCCTCGTTTTTTTGCATTAACTCAAATATTATTTATTAAAAACTTGTAAAAATATTATTTATTGAATTAATAAAATATATTTGCTACGTAGTAAAGTTTTTTTTTTATTAATGGGATTTTAAATTACAAATTGAGAAAGAGATTCTATAACGCCCATATTACTTGTAGAAATTATTAGCAACTATTGAACTTCGATATTGGATATAATATAATAAATTAAAAATAAAATCTAAAATAAATTTAAAATAAATTATAGTTATCGTATGGGTCTGACGTAACAACCTGTGCGTCACTTTTATTAACTATTTAATCTATTTTTGTGCTATGGTTTATTACAAATTTTTTTTTGTTTGTAGAACTACTTGCTAATTCAAACCTTTTTTTTTAAAAAAAAAATGTCATACAGCAATCTCACGGTTGACAATCCAGAAGCTCAACGGTTAATGCGAAAACTGAAAGGAACACTTCGAAGTAGTTACGGCATGTAGATTGGTATAGGGCTGAAAAAATATTTCAAAGACGTTGGATCAATTTGACAGCAAAGGGGAACTTGACATATTTTTAGCGTCGTTTCTTGGCTGGCTCACGAAAAAAAATGGTATGCCATTCAAAGTTGAGTCTGTTCATAATTGCTATGCTGCATTGGGACGATATTTGCGAGAAAATTCTGCTATTGAGGATGGTGTTCGTATCTGGGATAAGTATTTTTTTCCTAGGGCACTTAGATGTTTAGACAGGAAGATGAAATCTTTACAAAATGATGGTTATGGTGATATATCAAAGAGCGATTCATTAATATCAGATAAGATCATATCTTGTCTAAATCATATTTATCTGTCAGTTGATGATAACGAAGGCTTAATTAGGAGGGTTTTCTTTTGGTTATCATTGTTGTGTGAATTAAGAGGGGGTGATACGTATAGATTGGAATATCGTGATCTTGAAAGAAGAAGCGATGGTGGTCTTCAATTAAGGTTTCGTAGAGAAAAAAACAATCAAGGTGAAGTTCTCTATTGACAACGTTATGGTCATACTGGAACAAGATTTATTCCAATCCCACCTGACCATATTGATAATCAGTTCACACCTGTAAAGGATCTTCTTCTCTATTTATCAAAGCGTCCAGCTAATTGTGAATCTGGGGCTTTATTTTTACAATGCACAAGAAAACATACGGGCAATTATGGGTTATTTGATTATTGTATTTGGTAATTGAAAAAAAGTTCTAATATTTTTAATTTTTTTTTTTTTTTAGAAATCAAAAATGGTATTTGGTATAAGGCTTCCAGGATAGGTGAGAACAAACTGAAGTCAATGATGCAGCAAATCATAATCAACACTGGAATTAACCTTGATGGAAGAAAAATAACGAATCACAGTGGTCGTCATACTGCAATCATGTTATTGAAGGCATTTGATGTTCCTGAAGATGAAGCTATGATATTTTCAGGTCATCGCTCACGTGAAGGTATTCGAGCTTACAGTAGCCCGACAGATGATTAACGGTTATCATCTACGGCACTACTTATTCCATATACAGCATACAATGAAGATCTCGAATCATTTTATTCTTTCCCAGGGGATTCTTATGTTGATTACGAATCTGATGAAAATGATGAAGCGGGTTAGTATTTATTTTAACGAATTAATTAACAATTTACATTTTTACTTAGCTTTTAGACCTACAGCAATTGAGGTTTCACATATATCAAATTCAAGTCAAGAAACTACTCCTGAACCATTATCAAATCAAGAAACTACTCCTGAACCAGCATTGAATCAAGAGACTACCCCTGAACCATCACCAAGTCAAGAACCCGTCACCAAATCAATCACTTCTAGTAAGTTTTTTTTTTATGTGTGTAATTAGATTTTAGTTATTTGCTAAGTTTTTTTTTTTTTAGATAAACTTTTTAGACGAAAAAAAAAAATCCAAATTCATATTTGAAACTTTTAATGCCGTTCAAAAGTCCCATAATTAATAATAAAAAAGCACGATTTTACCATCAGAGTCAAGTACCGCAAGCTCAACATCATCAAGACCAAGCATCACAGGCTCATCAAGACCAAGCATCGCAAGCAAAAAACGATCACCACCAAGACCAGGCATCACAAGCAAAACCTGATCACCGTCACAAGCATGTAGTTGAACATCACGAAAACAAAAAAGTGCTGACGCCTAAAGAACGAAAATCACTACAGCCAATTACAAACAATATAATAATCCAGATTCCTGACACTGAGAAACGTCTGGACATTAATTTGAAATTTCTCTTCGAAATGATTGAATTTGTCTTTTTTTTTTTTTTATTCGTAATGAATTTTTTTTTTAATAAAAATCTTCAATGTAACTTAAATTGGAAGCTATTTACAAATAAATGACATTTCGCTTAATTACAATTTATTTCGCTAATTATAATTAATTACAATTTATTTTGTTGATTACGATTTATTTCACTAATTACAAATAATTACAATTTACTTCATTAATTACAATTAATTACAATTTAGTTTGTTAAATTACAATTACCGGTATTCGCTTAAAATAATTTTTATGTACGTACATTCTAATATTAGCTAAAATAACTCATTCGCACGGGTATATATGAAAATCATGTGATTTTCATATATACCCGTGCGAATAAGCTTTCGAAAAAAGCACGGGTTGTTACATAAGACCCATACGATAAATTAATATACTGTATATAACGAAAAGTAAAAACGTTTCAGAAAAACCTTCTACAAGTAAAAAAATAAAACAAAAAGCGAACTACAACTTAAATAATAGGTGATCCACTTACTATAAAATCGTTTTTCCTAATTTTCTTCACTAAGATCATAATCCACCGACTTTCCAAAGATGCATTTTACCGAAAGCTCTTACTCTAGCCTAGCGTACCTAATAGATCAATTTTTATGTAAAGATTTTGTAAGCTTGAAAAGAATCTTAAAACAATGTATAAAATAATTGCCTATATTCAAAGGTACAATATTTTATAACAAACCATTTATTTTTTATATTTTTTATACCATTTAATTAGTCGAAACCTCAGGAATAACTTTATATAAAGTGCATATTATACTTTGAATACGGATTTTGTTAAATTATTAAAAATGAATTTTTGTCGATTTGTGTAACTTATGAATATCATATGATAAAATTTCTGATGTGACAAATCGTGTGACTGGTATATTATGCACGTTGGTCGATATGATTAATAGTGCGTGGAAATATGAGCATTTAAAGTGATTCATGATTCAAACGAAAATGAGCAAGAATTTATTCAGGAATTGAAATATCACTGTGAAATTGGATACGAGAGTCCTTTCGTTCTTGGGATGTAAGGGTGTATCAAGAAATAATTAGGTGACTATATTATTGTTATTGATTATGCACTACAAGGTTCGTTACGGCAAAATCTTGAACAAGTATCACAATTAGAATGGAAAAATAAATTGATCTACTGTATTGTATAGCTTTGGATCTCGAGTCAATTCATTCGCAGGAACTCGTTCACAGAGATTTACACAGCGGAAATATTTTGCAAGAATATTTGAATAGCGCATGGATCGCTGATCTTGGACTTTCTAAAAAAGTAAAGGAAGGAAAGATTTGTGGAATTCTGCCATATATAGCACCTGAAGTTTTGTTAGGCCAGTCGTATACTCAAGCATCAGATATTTACAGTCTTGGAGTTATTGCAACAGAGATTTCGACCGGACAAAGAGCATTTGATGGAATATCTTTTAATGATGAACTTGTATCAAAAATTATTGGCGGATCAAGACCTAAATGTTTAGGACCAGATTGTTATATTAAACTAGCTATGGAATGTATGGATAAAGATTTTGATAAACGACCTACCGCAACAGAAATTAAGAAAATAGTCACTCGTTGGTTAGATGAAATTGATCAAGAAGATGATAATGAAATCAAAAAACAGTTTTTGGAAGCTAGCGATGTTAAACCAGAACTGATTGAACAAATACATTCACAAGACATATATACCAGCAAGATATTTGATACTCAAAATTTTTCCGAATATAAGTAAATCGGTGAATACAATCGAAATTTCATTAATTTCGTTAGATTCTCCAGTTTACATTTCGCTTTTTTAAAAATTTTTGACAATTGTCAAAATTAGGTTTTGGCTTTTATCAGCGCAAAACCTCTAGGTTTCGCCTAATACCTTAATTATAGAATTTGTAACTGCTAAAGGTGAATTCGGAAGTCAATTTTCAAAAAAAAAAAGGACATTTTAACAGACTTTTGGTCTATAATTAATACGTAAATAACATAGTTTTTCAATATTTAATTAAGATAAAAATTTAAAACGGCGCTCTTATAAAAATTTGCTTTGTTAAGTTGATTAGCACATTGGTAATATTCAATCAATATTAGAATTAAAATTTATATTTTTCATAAAGTTAAATGTAAATAAAATATTTCAAAAGATTTTGAGACAGAAATTTAAAAAAGAAGATAAAATTATTTTAAAAATTTCATACTCCAAGAGTGAGGATCTGAATAATTTTTTTTTCTTTTTTTTGTTCGAGAATATAATTGATAATTTTTATGTTCTCAAAAAATTTTAATGTCTTAATGAAAAAAAAGCTCAATTTTACTAATTTATACCATTTTCACATATATCTTACTAGAACACAAATTATAAATTATGTTCGCAAAAGAAAATGTGGTTTTTGAATGCAGTGGTTTAAAATTTTATTAAATTTTCTTGAGAGCATTTGGGAACGTTAGATCTTTAACTGTTCCCAAAACAAATCACCAAAATGATAAAAATAATAATCTAAATTTATAGATTAAGTGGAATGTATTGTACCTTCCTAAGTAGTGATGAGGTAGAATTGTTTCAATGATGTTCGTAACTAGTCACGACATAAGCTTTAGTTAGTTACCGCATCATTATTCCTAATTGCGTTTACAAAATTTGCCTTTATTGTTTTCCAAAGGATAAATCGATTTTTAACTAAGCAAACCTCTCCCCAACTTCTAACAAAAGTTGTAAAGGAGAGAATTTTGAGCATAATGGTAGTTGAAACGTTAAAATCGGCCCAGAGGATCGTGAGATATATGTATTTCAGTCTAGTGCTTGGATCCGGATAGATATCCTGTTTTAATTATCTTACAGCAGTTTTCATTATTCCTGGGACACCTATAAAAAATTCGCCGAAAAATTTTTCGGCCGACCCGGTTAAGTAATTTTTTCGATATGATCGGTATATAAAAAATATATTTTTGAATTCATTCAATTTTTATTTACTGTAATATTGATGTAATATCTACGTCATAAACTAAATTACATGCAAACGGAAAATGTGTACCAGGTTGGTGCGCCACATGTGTCACATACGCCATAGCTGTGAAAATGTATACAACAATAATGATAACGAAGGTAAAAAATAAAAAAATACCCAAATTTGTAATTCAAGCGAATTTTAACGCCAAATTTCTAATACATATTATGAATAGCATAATCGCTATAACTACATAAAACATTTAATTTGGTTAAACTACTCTAAAAACAAT